CCTGGGCCTCTGAGAACAGGACAAGAAGCAATGGGCTTAAATTGCAGCAAGGGAGGTTTAGGATGGACATCAGGAAAAATTTCCTGTCAGGGTGGTTAAACACTGGAATAAATTGCCTTGGGAGGTTGTGGAATCTCCATCACTGGAGATATTGAAGAGCAGGTTAGACAGACACCTGTCAGGGATGATCTAGATGGTGCTTGGTCCTGCCATGAGTTCAGGGCACTGGACTCGATGGCCTCTCGAGGTCCCTTCCAATTCGAGTGTTCTATGATGTAGTGACACCAGAATTAGCAAAACTGGTTTCCTCTGTCCTGGGGCAGGAGCTTGGGTTAAGTTCTGGACGGATGTCCTGTTTCAGAGAGATGACATTGTTGTGACTGAGGCTTCTAGAGCTTACTTTAAAGAGGTGAAAGTCTCCAAAGAATAATAGTACTCACAGCAGGCTAAAATCTTCCTCCCGTTCCGCTCCAGCAATGAGATGCTGTTTTGCTCTCCCTGCGGTCTCTTGCTTTACTGGTTCATTTTTTTGTTTCTGTAAACTTTTATTTTATTTTTGCCCCTCTTGTTAAATGTATATTTTAAACGAGAAGATGACTATCCTGGCTCATGCGTTTTCTCTGCGCTTATGTACTTAATCTGCCTTAGACTCCTTTTCTATCCGGCCACAATTATCTGTGAAACAGTGACATCTAGTGGTTTTTCTTCTGAAGGAAACAATGAGAAATAAGGGGTTCGCTGCTGTTTATCAAGTGGTGCCGTTAGAAGCTAAGGAGCAAATTGCTATCCCGCATGCCGATAGCAGCAAGCATGCCTGTCGGAAGGATGACAACGTTACAGGACCGTTGGGGTGATGGTAAACAATTAACAGCTGCCGTGAAGCAGAGATTGGAGAATGATGGAGGGACAGCGCGTGTGTCAGCTGCTAAGGGACAGAATTCCATCCCTTTAAAGCTTGTTTATCTAGATAACGCCTTCATTTCCTTACACTGATCACCCTGAAAATGTTGCTCTGGTGTCTCACGGCCCACTAGTGCAAGAATGTGCAGATATTTCTGTGGCTGTGGGCAGTTGAGGGTACGTCTACACTGCAGCGTTATTTCGGAATAACTGGGGTTATTCCGAAATAACAAAGAGTGTGTCCTGCGGTGTAATTCGGCCAAAAGCCGAATTAAGCTATTTTGACGTAAGCTACCCAATGGATGTAGCTCAAGTTGCGTAGCTTAGTTCGACATTTGCCGTGCTGTGTAGTCAAACCCTTAGTTATGGGCACGAACTGCAGTGTTTAGCACGGCGTATTTTAATTTGCAGTCCATAGTATTTTCTTAACGCGATGCATTACCTGAATCAGAATATGGATTCAGTATGGAAAAAAAGTTGAAATGCCCATGTATTTTTACTATAAAATATGCTGTTTGCAGTGGTGTTCCAGCCTGTTGGTACTAGAATATTAGTGAGAAAAGGTAGGTGAGGTCATATCTTTTATTGGACCAACTTGTAGTTGTAAAAGAGATGAGCTTTCAAGCTACCCAAAGCCATTTTTCACACTAAACGCTGTTCAGAACAAGAGCTGCGCATGGCTCATAAGCTTGTCTGACACCTACAGATATTCGGCCAATAAAAGATATTGCCTCATCTACGTTGTCTCTGTACTACAAAGTATGATGTGCCATTTTTAGAGAAAATGCTTTTGTAATATTTATGTACTACAAGATTTACCCTGCTTGGGTCCGTAACTCAGATAAGTTTTGTTTTTCTTCATTTAAATCTTCATTCTGTGGTGGGGCGGGGGAGGAGGGGTTCAGTACGCAGGCTGCCCTGGGAAGAGAGGACAACTCCAGCCCACTCTCACCGCAGCAGTTTGGGGCCAGGTGAGAAGTGCCCTCTCCATGGCAGCTGCAGGGAGCACAGCCCAGATCTCCCAGCTGGGGGATGGACAGACGGACACACAAACTCTCCACCCTGACCCCTGCTGGCCCATGGGGTTATAGCTGTCCCTGTCCCCATCTCTGGCTCCGTGCTGCCCCCTGTGGTCATTTTGCAGTATAACTGTCCTTCCTGCCAGACCCCTCTGTTTCCATGTGATGAAAGTCGCATTTCAGGCGCATCCCATTGTCCTGGCAGAACCAAACCCTGACCTTGCTGTAAGTTATGATCAGAGGAAGCTGCGTTGGGCAGGGGGCTGGACTCGATGACTCCTGAGGTCTCTTCCCGCCCTAGGATTCTAGGCTTGTTGACCTGGGTTGCAGCCCCCCTTGAAGTACAGCTTGTTCCCGGAGGCTTTCTGCAGCACCTTGCACACACTCTCCCTTGCACACCACAGTGCTGTAGGAAAAAGGGCCTGGTCTTAGTGCCAGCCGGACTCTGGGCCTAGGGTCACTCTGCCACTCTGCTGTGGTTTGAGCATTGGCCTGCAAAACCCAGGGTTGCGAGTTCAATCCTTGAGGGGGCCATTTAGGGATCTGGGGCAAATTTGTCAGGGATGGTACTTGGTCCTGCCGTGAGGGCAGGGGACTAGACTCGATGACCTCTCGAGGTCCCTTCCAGTTCTATGAGATAGGTACATCTCCTCTCTGCGTCTCTGTTCTACAGCACAGCTGCTATCAGAGGCATCCCGGGCCATGTCAACACGGTGCATAGCTTGCCCCTGGCACACCACAGCATAAATCCTGCTCTGCGCTTCTGGCTCCTCCATCAGGGGTGAACTAGACAGGCCTCGCTTCCCGCTCGGTTCTAAAGTACCCTGTAGACAAAGCATCCCATAAATGCAGCCTGTAGCACTTTGCTGCTGCGGCAGCCCCGCGTGTGAGACTGCTCTTTCGTGCGATTTACTCCCGTCTTTCAGTATACGTTTAAGCAGGAGCTCCCGCTGCTTATGCACAGGTTTTTTTTCTATGCATATTTCCTTATTTTGTGGCTCGAGACAGAAACCAGAGCTGCAGCTGGAAATCCTTTTGCTCTAAACCAATAGTGTAATGCCTCATTGAATGCCCTCTGCTTAGCGGTCCTGTTGGCTTTTGGGGCCCTGGTGCCAGACCCACAAACCATAAATATCGTGGGGGTCGTGCCGTGACTCCTTTGCTGAAGCCCCGGCTTGTCAGCTCATGTTGCCTCAGTGAGATTAAGGGCTGGTGAGAACGCATCTGCTTGTCTTGACTGAGGAGAGACGCCATCTTGTTTCTCCACAACGGCCTGATCTTTTACACCGCGGAGTTGTCAGGGTTCACTGGGAAATGGAGTCTGCGGCAGCAGCTTGGACTTACAGTATCAGAAGATTAGAGAGACGAGGTGGGCGAGGTTGTATCTTTTATTGGGCCAGTTTTTGTGCCTGAGAGAGATCAGTCTTTTAGCCACACAGAGCCCTTCTTTCCTTCTGCGTGGTCTGAATGCTTCCCTCTCACCAAAAGAAGCTGATGCAGTAAAAGATATCCTGTCACCCACTTTGCCTCTCTAACATCCTGGGACCACCACGGCGATGCCTGACCTGCACAGCTCCAGAAGATGGTGCTGTTGTACAAGGAACACATTTATTTCAATGGAAACTGTTTGATGTATTAGTCTGTCCCAGGTGCATTGTTACTTGAGATGGGTGATTAACAGGCGCTCCACCCGAGCAATGAGAAAGAGGGCACTTGTTATTAAAGAGCTAAACTCTTAAAAACTAAAACTTAATTGAACACCCTCCCCAAGCTGTATAAGAACATCAGAATGGCCAAAGGTCCATCTAGCCCAGTAGCCTGTCTTCCGACAGTGGCCAATGCCAGGTATCCCAGACTAATAAACCATCTTGTTAGTCTTTAAAGTGCTACATTGTCCTGCATTTTGCTTCAGGTATCCCAGAGGGATGAACAGAACAGGCAATCATCAAGTGATCCCTTCCCTGTCACCCATTTCCAACCTCTGACAAACAGAGGCTAGGGACACCATTCCTACCCCCTGCTGGCTAATAAGAATTGATGGATCTAATATCCATGGATTTATCTAGTTCTATTTTTTTTTAACCCTGTTTAAGTCCTGGTCTTCACAACATCCTCTGGCAAGGAGTTCCAGAGATTGGCTCTATGCTGCGTGAAGAAAAACTTCCTTTGATCCTAAACACATTTTCACTTGTGCAAAGTAAGGCTGTGATCCTGACATTTTGTTCTGCCAGATTCCGGATGGGGACCCGAGGTGGTCCAGTTAATCAGTGAGAGCCCACTGTGGGAATTGGATGAGGGAGGGTCTGACCCATAATTTCCGGCATTGGTCTCTCAGAAAGTTTGAACGTTGGGCTCGGATGAGCCCCATACCCTTTTTGGCTATTTTTTTTACTCTTCTGGAGTCTGCCTTTTCTTCTCCCTTCAACTCCCAGAGTTCTGTTAGGCTCTGGCTGGCTCCTGGCATCGAATTTCAGTGACGAGGGTTTCCCCACATCGAGAAAAACTGGGCCAGAATGCATTGCTTCCCAGCTACCTTGAAGATGGGCAATCAGAAGGCAGCAAAAACCCTGTTGAAAGAGAGAGACCCTCTGGCAGGGGTTCAGCACAGGCTGTGTGAGGCCTTTTAGAAGTTAAGGAAGCACGTTTTTTCCCCAGAACTGAGGCCAGGTCTACACTAAGAGGCAATAGTGACGCTAGAGTCAATGTGCCTTAGAGTCGATGGGTGTGTGGTCGACAGTCGATTTAGTGGGTCTTTACTAAAGGCACATTTTGGTATGTGGCCGACAAACAGGAATTTAGTTTCTGGGCTATCAAGCACTGTTAGTAAAGTCACAATAAATGTATCCTATGTCTGCGAATGCGAACCTCACCGTAAGCCCGGCAATCGGGTGGAGAAACGTTCTGCCCTAGGGCTGTTACATTGCCATCAGGGATTCGGGTACATGATATTGCAAAACACTTTTCTTTAGAATTTCTAAAGTTGATTGCCTACCTCCCCAAGCCTCCGTAGATTGTGACTGTGAAAGCCATGCATCCAGAGATTTGCCTGCTCAATCACCTTTTCTTTTCCCTTCTTCCCAGGAACTTTTACTACATTACTATCCTGCGCGACCCTGTGTCCCGGTATTTGAGTGAATGGAGACATGTCCAGAGAGGAGCAACATGGAAGGCTTCCTTACACGTATGTGATGGAAGATCGCCAACTACTGAAGAGTTACCCAGCTGTTACACCGGGGACGACTGGTCAGGCTGTTCCCTCACGGAGTTTATGGATTGTCCGTACAATCTAGCCAATAATCGGCAAGTCCGCATGCTGTCCGACCTGAGCTTGGTTGGATGTTACAACTTGTCTGTCATGCCAGAGGAGCAAAGAAACAAGGTTTTGCTAGACAGCGCGAAGGAGAACCTGAAGCGTATGGCCTTCTTCGGCCTTACAGAGTTTCAGAGGAAGACTCAGTATCTGTTTGAAAAAACGTTTAACATGAACTTCATCGCGCCATTCACACAGTATAATAGCACAAGGGCCTCTAGTGTGGAAATAGATGAGCAGACTCAAAACCAGATTGAGACCCTCAATTTTTTAGACATGGAGTTGTACGATTATGCAAAAGACCTTTTTTTGCAAAGGTATCAATACATGAGACAGAAAGAACACCAAGAAGCCCGACGGAAGCGCCAGGAGCAGCGAAAGATCCTGAAGGCAAAACAAGACCGCAATAAAGAACAGAGCGATGATAATTCAACTACTGATTACATAGGGAATGTGGAGCGTTGGCGATAGTGGGGACTGAAATCTTTTAAGTTAGACTAGTCGAATACCATAAACAAAAACCACACAAATCATAGACGATGACGCTAGTCCAAACCAATTGCTCTTCTTAAATATTTGACGCAAAAGAGGTTAAAAAGTTGCCTTTGCAGTTGCCTTTGCATTAAATGTTGTACTGTACGTGGAAAACTTAACCTTCCTGTGTAATTAACTTGTCCTTTTTCAGTTTGTTGGATTATTTATGAAACACAAAAGCCAAGTGGGCTGTCCAGAAATTGTTGCTTGAACCTCTAGGGGAAAAAATCCTTAAATTAGTTCTGGGTATGAAATGGGGTGTTAGAAATCTGACATCATGCACTATTAAACCTCTATCAGAAGCAAACTGATTTCCTAGTAATAAGCATACATAAGTTTAATGTGCATACATAGTAACGCATGTGTGCAAAACTCCCCTCTTTGATTTTTATTTTTTTATTTTGATTTTAATTATTTCTGAGGCCCCCCCAACTGCTTGCAATATTTACCAATTTTCAAGAAAGTGAAAGGAACAATTAACATTTAGAGGAAAAGTTGACTCATTTCATGTATGATGCTGGCTTTTAAAAAAGAATAAAAGTAAATTGTCTAGTTATATACAAATTAAATATTTTAAACTTTTTCTACCTACCGCAAAGAGTTTTAAACTTGGTCTGTCTCACGTTAAAAAAGTAACACTACACTTTTCTGAACCGAAAATCAATGTTAAGGACACTATTTTCAGAATTTTTCATGGCAGTATCATTTTCAACATTCTGGAAATATATGGCATATCTTCATGTTTCATATAGTCTTTTCAAAATGATACTCCTGTATACTATCCAGACTTAACAGTCTTTCTTATACCTTGGAATATATGTTGTGGCTTTTACCAAATACTGAATATTTGGTCATTTAAGACAGGAGAGTCTTTCTAAGAAATTATCTTGTGAATGTTTGCATAGCGTCTGTCTAAACGAAAACCCAACCATCTCAAATCCTGGCAACATTTTTCAAATAATTGCTTTGGTTATTCGTGACTAACTGGAGGTGAAATAGATTTACACTTGAATTGTGATTTGGTAAATCTTTCCTGCGTGATGTAAAAATCAAGCTCTTTTCTAATGCATTCGAGCCCTTTTTAGTGCTGACAGATTGTAGACAATTATAAAAGATTGCAACATATGCGAGTATATAGCCATAGTTACACAGTAAAAGACGGTTGTGTGGTAAAATGGGATGAGCATCTTACCCAAGCACGCGCATCACTGAGGGTCTGGGTGTAGAGATCATTCTGAAAGTTCTCCTGTGATCCAGTTTCATCTGGATCGGGTCTAGAAGGTGGCCACGTTAGAGGTAAGGACGGGAAATGTGATTTGATCATACAAATCTCTATGCAAAACAACTGTAAAGATTCCAGTTATAACTTGGGTCAAGTTTAGAAATGTCATGTGTAGCCCTCCGGGCTCTCAAGCATTGTACTAACTGGCAACTTTCTTTTATGTGCTTGTTCTATTTTGTGTAGGCTTGTGTTAACTCTACTGACACACACACACACACACACACACACACACACACATACACCCCGTCCCGGTTACTGCTGAGTGAGGGAAGCTATCTGAACATGGCTTCTCTCGTTACGATGCGTACCATGCTCATTTCCACTATAGCCTTTCATCTGTCATGTTCAATGCACAAGTAGGGCAGGAGGCGTACAATGAGAATGCTTTAAAAAAAATCACATCTGTGGCTCCATGCCGCAGCGGTCTAAAGGTCCTGTTACATCGGGCATCCTGGCAGTGGTGCTGACTGAGAAAACGGGAAAAAGAATGAAATGAGCTGTCTTAGCAATGTGGGAAGTAAAATAACTCCCTGTCCAGTGCATTCTCTTTACCGAGAAGTCCATTCGCCAATATGGTGTCTCAATTCTATTTTGGTTTTTATGGGGGAAAATAATCCACTCTTAAAACCGAAAGGCATTTTTGGGAACAGGGACTCAACCCAAAGCTGGTCGGAGGGCCTGTTGCACAAGGTGCATTTTGTTTTTATGCTGTGGTGTGCATGGTTTACAAAGACTAGTTGCATTTTCTCTGTGTATACTGTTTATTGTATATAGGGGCCATATGAATATAAGGCTATAAGGTTTTGTCATAAGCATATAAATTCTACTGATTTCCACTGTAGATTGCTGTCTTATTGTGTAGATTTACAACCCAAGCCACTGACTTTGATTGTGTAATTTAACAATAGAACCAATAAATAAAATTTAATTAAGGCTTTGCTTTTAGTTCATTATTTCTGTATCTGGAATCACTCCTGGGAAATTGAGCCGTGAAGAGGCAATGGTTGTTTTGATAACAATGAAGTAGACAGTAAAAGCTACGCATGGGATATTAGGGTGTGTCTAGACTACAGGGTTTTGTCAACCAAAGTGGACTTTTGTCGACAACACTATACCTGCGTCTACACTGCCTCCGAGTTCTGTCAACATAACGTCGACAGAACTCGGCAGTTTTGTCGACGGCGGTAAACCTCATTTTATGAGGAATAATGCCTTCTGTCGACAGAGTTCGGTCGACAGAAGGCATTATTGCATCTACACTGTCCTTTGCGTCTACGGTCTCATGTTGACAAAGCGGCTTGCTTTGTTGACAGAACTTGGATGTAGTCTAGATGCTCTTTGTCAACAGAAGCTTTGTCGACAGTATCTGTCGACAAAAGCCTGTAGTCTAGATGTACCCTTAAAGTTAGGGCCATTTTGAAATGTATTCCAAACTCCAGACCCTAATGCTTCCTGTACTCAGTGAGAGTTTGCACGGTGGTGAAGATTTTTGTTTTGCTCTTCAGATGTGACTGAGCACCAGTAGCTTCTATTAGCTCCGACATAGCTGTGGCTGGCTGCCTACACTTTAAAAAAAAAAAAGTAAATTGTAATATATGTCCACTTGTTTTACTTTCAGGCTAATCCTGCTAGATTTTGAGCTAGTGGTCACCTCTGTGAAGTCCTCTGCCCTCATCCCGTAACGAAAGAATTCAGTGACACGGAAATGCCTGGATTGTTGTCGGAACGATGGGACACAAAAAGATCCATCAAGAATTTTTTGGGCCCTATGACGAGCAAAAAGATGTAGGGACATGGTTCAAGATTGACCCGTAAAACTACTTTTACTTCTATTTGGGCTGAGGGCTTTATCACATTCCTACCGTGTTTATCAAAGTGTCTGATGTGGTGCTTACAGAAACCAAGAAATCCACCCGCCGTCTGCCAGCCAGAAAGTACTGCCCCCGGGTCTCCCCAAAACCCTGAGCCTAGCTCTGAAAATGCATCTACGTGTCCAATTCTGCTCTGACATATACACCCAGTGCAGCCTCCTTGAAGCCAGTGTAGTGTATAAATCAAAGCAGAATGTGACCCGTAGCCTACACAAATTCCTTTGGGGAAAGCCCGCTTTCTTCCCAATTAAAGCTAAAAGCAAAGAATGGGGTCTTAGTGTAAAGTGTAATGTTGGGGGAGGGAATCAGGTAGTAGCCAAGGGAGCCACGTCAGCATGCTTTGGCTTTACACAGAGGCCTATTGCTATGGTGACTAGCCCCAGTGGGCCTGTTAATAGGATGCCAGTTGTGAAAAATGCTTCCCTGCCGTACTAAAAAGCAACCCAACAATGAAGTGTGGCAAAAAATAGGCACATTTTAAAAAACCCAGCAAAAGAGAAATGTTTTGACAGATGAACAAAACACAGGTCCGACAAAGATAGAGGTGGGGGTGGAAGAACTTCCACCTAGAACCCAGAGATTGGTTGCCTCAGATCATCTGATGGTTCAGAGAAGAATGGACCCATGTAACAGGAGAAATCTTCTGAGAACAAAATGAGACATTTTACGGCTCTGCCAGATTAAAATATCAGCAAAACTTCCAGTAACAGGCTAAGACCTCAGCCTAGGAACAGTCCACACAGCAATCTGAGAATTCAGACGAGGTTGTGACATTAAAGAGAATGAGAGATGAGGCAACAAGCAACTTGTCGAACACACAAATTCAATACACATTTCAATCTGTGCTGGGCACTTCTGAAAACCTGGCGCATTCACTGAGGTGCTGAAATGGGAGATATGCAATCTTGAAAATCAGGCCCCAACATTTTCTGCGTGGATTTGCAACAGTCCGGGTGGATCAGAACGACTTGATCGTGACTGACATGGAAACAAGTAATGTGTAATATATCGACAGATTAAAAACTGGATGTTCAACTGTATGCAACACTGTTACTCAGTCTCATTGAAATGATGGGATTGTGTTTTCCCAAAGAAAAGTTCATAGGAAAATTCTCAAATGCTTTTCTTACTAGATCTGGTTTTGAACGCATTACTCTGCTTGGGTTACATCAAACTGGCATGTTATAAAAATGAGGGTTTGTTTGCAATCCCGTGAGAGTTTGAATTTAACTAATAAAAAAGTTAGAAAAATTCAGAACCGTAAAATCAGAACAGCCTTTAACAGGGTGTTGTGTTTCCAGCTAATATTTTATATTTCCCAAAGTGTGTATTAAAACTATTAACACGTTGCTATGTAAGGAAGGTTGAAGATTAACTGCTCAGTTGATTTCGGTTAACGAGCTTCACAATCCATTTATTACGTAGATATTTTTTAATAGGGCATCATATATATATTTGATTTGTATGTGCCATTATTTAACGATAATGACCTAATCCATTTTCTTTCCCCTGTAATTACTTATTAAAAATCCAAAAGCTATCTAAAAATCACTGATCAGAAATGGGCCTAAAGCTGAGAGATGTCCTTGAGATCATACCACATTTGCAGACACCCTCCTTTTAAACTTTGGTATAAACATAGAACAATTGAGGAGGTCAGAAAAACCCTAAAGGATGAATCCTGGCCATTTCTCAGTGTTGAGCATTTGCAGCAAAGTGTGATGAAGGGAGGCCCAAAGGAAAGCAGGTCCTTAGGGGAACAGTCTTTCTACAGTGAAAATATTTCTCAGGCTCCGGGGCTGTTTATAACTTACCACGTCTTTTGGATGAAAAATACACGGGCCACCAGGGTGATTAGCTGGAGCTGGGCACATCTATAAAATCACTCTCAGAAATAGGCCTGTTCTAGCTCAGTGGGCCTGATTGTCCTTTCACACCATTTGTATATTGGAGCTCAGCTGACTTCTGTGATGTCCTGAGCTCTCATGCCCTGAATTGTAAGGGTAGGTTAGAATCATAGAATCCTAGAACTGGGTGCTGCGTGTGAATCCTAGAACACAACCTCCCTAGGCAATTCATTCCAGTGCTCAGTCCACAAGAGCTGCCTTCTGCTTGTTTCTCCTCTCTCTCCTCCAGGCCTACGTCAGTTTTAATTAGCTCTGGTTTCATCTGCATCTGGGACTGCATGCAGATTGGTTACACCCCCATTGGACTCACCTACCCGCACCGCAGCCCAGAAGGCAAACCTCAACGAAGTTCATTTACAAGTTGGACACTATCGACTTAGGCTTGAATAAGGATCCTAATCGGTTAACGCACTACAAAGGCAATTTCCCTGCCTTTGATATTCGCATCTCCACATCAAATGCTGCGACTAAGATGCGTCTATCCTGGCTTAATTAGCTTCATTCATGCTGCTTCTACAATTGATGGGTTATTTTGTTTCCTATTATACATACCCAGATTCTGTTCTTTCCACATCATCTCATCCGATGAAGTAGTTTTTACCCACGAAGGGTCAGGCCTATTAGCCTCTAAGGTCCCACAAGACTATGCGTTGTTTTTGCCATTGCAGACTAACATGGCTACCCCTCTGAGCTAAGAAATTCTTCTGCACGATCACCAATAGTCCATCCACTCTGCCTGCTCTTGCTCCCTGATAGTCTGATATGGTTTGCAGGAAAAGGGGAAAAAAATTCAAAACAAGAAGTTGAGTCCTTGAGCCTTTTCCAAGTCCTCTTCTTTGCAGACACGTGGCTGCTCGCAGGGACAGTGACCTCTACGGTCAAAGCACTGATCCACAACAGAAAGATCTGCAGAGTAGGAGCTTTGCCGGCCAGGTCAGCACTGAGTAACTGTCCAGAATGCAGTGCCAGAAGGAAAAATCCGGGTTGGCTCTCCTAGAAGGATCCTTGTCTTGAGTTGTTCCAAGGCCCTGGTCAGGAATCTAGTGGGGACAGATCCACCGTTTCCCACAACCCTTGCTCTGCAGTTCTGCCATTGTTCTTGTCTTCTGCCCAAAGTTTCTATTCCTGGCTAGGAATCTCTCTACACTGTGTGAAGCAAAATGCAGGACAATGTAGCACTAACAAGATGGCTTATTAGATGATGAGCTTTCGTGGGCCAGACCCACTTCCTCAGATCAACTATTCTACACTGTGTGGCGCTGTTGCCTTTAACAGCCCCATTGCAGATTTCCCAGGGCGGGGAAAGCTTGTGAAATTAAAATGACTGCCGTTTTCTCCAAGCAGAGCCCTGAAGTTGAGTAATTGCCCGATAGGACTTAAAATACAATGTTTGCCATACGGCGGGCCCCGCCTTGGCGTTCCAGTCTAACGCGAAGTGCCCGAGCCTGTTCGCTATTTTGTGGGTGGGCTCGGGAGGACTTAAAAGCAGCCCCCATGCGGGCCAGGCATCTGGCCACACAGAATCACTATTTGCAGGAGCATGGCCTAACTGTGAGTTGTTTTACTCTGATGGAAAGGCGATACGTGAAGTCGAATTACGTGGAGTGAAAGGCCAGGTTTGCTTTAAGTTGAGCTGCAAAAGAGAAAAAGCAGGCCCGCCCTTTTTCTGCTTCTGGCTGATCTCCAGAGACAAGACGAGACTTCTGTTTTTCTTTCAAATTCGTATGACTCTGAGGGTACATCTACACTCCAGGGGTAAACTCTGCCACGTCCACGGAACGTGTTTGCTCTTCCGCTTTTTTTTTTAGGAAGAGCAAACACGCTCTTTCAGGGAACCCTGTGTACCTCGTTCTATGAGGAATAAGAGCTTCTCCGAAAGAGGAGACTTTTTTCCAGAAAGCTTCCTTCCTTTCTTTCTTTCTTTCTTTCTTTCTTTCTTTCTTTCTTTCTTTCTTTCTTTCTTTCTTTCTTTCTTTCTTTCTTTCTTTCTTTCTTTCTTTCTTTCTTTCTTTCTTTCTTTCTTTCTTTCTTTCTTTCTTTCTTTCTTTCTTTGTTCCTTCGTTCCTTTGTTAATAGAGATTTTATGAGCTGTTTTCCACGTCAGTGCCGCCAGTCTATTGAGTCTATGCACTGTTGCCCACCTCCAAGATGGCT